GTGATGTTGTAAGTAAAAATTAGAACCAATCGGAGGAATCATAGTGTTGACCACTTTATCAGAATTATTTTTAGAGGCAGCTTTTTATGGAAGACAGGAAAAGGATAGAACAATTCGAGTGTTTTATCATGTTGCCAGTAGTACCTTGTAAAGGGTTTTCTGGATTTTAAAGGATGTTTTTGTTATTGGAAATCTAGACATAACAGAATATAGCTGATGCTGTTTTCATTTTCTAATCAGTCCTCTCCATTAATAGCCTACGGAAGACCCTGAAATTTCCCTCCTTGTAAAAAAAAAACCTTTTGTATATCTATATATTTTTTGTTCTTTATTGACTGTCCTCAGACCAAGTCCTCTGACTTTAATATAAACCTCCCATATTTTCTTTTCAGTATTTCACTAGATTAGAAGCTTAAAATATGGATACTACCTCCAAGAGTGCTGACTGCAACCCATCCATCCTTTGCAACCCTTGTCCTTATCCTCTTGTAAATACATACCAGGGAGTTCATCTTGTATACTAGGAGCCTCCCTCTGATCTCCTGACATTACCTAGGTATCAATGCATCTGTTATCTATTATCCTTTCATCCTTTTCCTGCCTCCTTTTCTGGTAATAGATTGCTTTGATATCTTTTATAGTACTTCTAGGATGCAATTTGTTATTGTTCATAAGCCCTTTGGGTGGCTTATAGTTTTGATTTCTTGGATATTGTAGTCATATAGCATTGTTGGAAGAATATTTGTGTAAAATAGATGGGATTTTATTTCAGGGTACAATTTTCATCATTGAAATTTCTGTGTAATTTATTAAATATAATCCAACCCACCTTCTTTCTATTCAGTTTATAGTTCATTGTCTCTCTGTAGTGTCTGTCCAAGAGTTATGTACTAATGGGCTGTCCAATGTATAACATCATCTGAATAATAGAACTTTATCCATTTGTGTGGATAGTTAGGCCAAACTCATTTGAAGGCTTAATGCAGTCTATCACAATATCATCCTTAAATGGGAGCATTTGAATATTGTTGTATACTATAAAGAATCCCCCTTCCATTTGGATTCTGAATTGACTCTCCTCCATGACAACTTTAAGTACCTTTGGGCATACAGGTCTCCCTGTTTTATGTCTTAATTAACATGAGTTATCTCTTGTTTAGGGATACCCTCTTGTGCTTGATTCAGTGAATTGGAATTCCTCTATGGCACTTAACACATCAATTTCAGTGTCTAGGCCACTATCTCTCCATTACCTTGAACTTGTTTAGTAACATAAGGAGGAATTTCTTCACCTTCTTATCTCCAAATATTAGTCTCATGTAAAATGAAAGGGTGGGAATAAGTGATTTTTAAAGCCCCAGCTAGTTCTAACAGTCTTTTCTTTTGGAAGTTATTTATTTATTATTTTTATTGCTATATCACATTTTTCTTTCCCTCCTTCACCTCTTTCTTCCCTGAGATACTAAGCAGTTTGATATCGGTTACATATGTTCAATCATGCAAAACACATTACCATATTATGTTGTGAAAGAAGACAGACCCAAAGGAAAAAAATCCTTGAAAAAATACAAAAAGTGAAAAACAGTATGTTTCAATCTGCATTCAGGCTGCATGAGTTCTTTTTCTGAAAGTGGATACCATTTTCCATCATGAGTCCTTTGGAATTGTCTTGGATCATTGTTTTACTGAGAATAATTAAGTCATACATGGTTAATCATTGTATAATATTGCTATTACTACGTACAATGTTCTCCTGGTTCTGCTCACTTCACTTTCATATTTAAATCTCTCCAGGTTTTTCTGAAATCTTCCTGCTCATCATTTTTATAGTACAGTAATATTCCATTATACTCACAAACCACAACTTGTTCAGCCATTCCCCAATTGTTGGACATGCCCTCAATTTCCAATTTTTTATCACTAAGAAAAAAGTTGATATAAATATTTTTGTACATTTTTAAAATCTCTTTGGATACAGACCTAGTCGTAGTGGTATTACTGGATCAAAGGGTATGTGCAGTTTGATAGCCCTTTGGGCATAGTTCCAGATTGCTCTCCAAAATGTTGAATCAGTTCACAACTCTACCAACAGTGCATTAGTGTCCTGATTTTCCTGCATTCCGTCCAACATTTATTATTTTCCTTCTCTGTCGTATTAGTCAATCTGATAGGTGTGAGGTAGTACCTCAGAGTTGTTTTTAAGTCACTTTTTTAATGAAGCCTTAGCTTTTTTTTTCTTTTTTCTTTTTCTTTTTTTTGCGAGGCAATAGGGTGAACTGACTTGCTCAGAGTCACACAGCTAGTTAGTGTCAAGTGTCTGAGGTCAAATTTGAACTCAGGTCTTCCTGAATCCAGGGCCGGTGCTCTGTCCAGCTGCCCCATCTAGCTCCCCCAATTCACTTTTTAAAAGTATAATTACAATTAAAATACAATGGTTGGACCAATTCACAGTTTTACCAACAGCATATTAGTATGTCAATGTTAATATTTAAACTTTTGTCACTTTTAAGAGTTTAGGTGTGTGGTGAAACCCCAGCAATCTTAATGTTTTATCATTTTATTGTTTAATTTTTGAAGGGCTGTGTGTGTTCAAGTTCATGTTTCTCCTTTCTTCAGAATTCAGAAGGATTTATGAGTTTGCAGTCAGTTACATATTCAACAAACTCAAAATAACTTTGTCACCATGAAAGTTTTATTATCCAGTTCAATAAACATTTATTAAATGGCTGTTATGTAGTAGGCACTGTGTTAAGCGTTGAAGGATGCAATTAATAAAAAGACAGACAATCCTTGCCCTCAAGGAGCTGACAATCTAATGGGACGGGGGAGAGACAACATATAAAAGGAAGAAGGAAAAGGGGAGGGGGAGATGCCAGAGTTATATGGTGTGGTGACATCTTGTTCCCTGGAGTTGAAATCAGGCAGAGCAGCCTATACAAAGTAGAGAGTGAGCTGAGCATCGAGTTTCTGTCCTCTATAAAGGAAGGCATTGGGAGGAGTTTGGTACTCCACCCCCCAGTCCTCCAATCAGAGGGGAGAGGAAGCTGAGGGAAGTGGTGTCAGTCAAGACTTGGTTAGTAGCCTGGTGGCGAGTTGAGAAGTGATGAGCTTATCCCCAAAGGAACATCTTGTTCCAGAGGGTTGAAACTCTGAAATAGGTCAGGCAGCAGATACAAAGTGAAGTGAATTTTTAAAAAGTTAGAAGCTAATGCTTGATTTCAGCAGAACAATTGAAATGCTATAAAGATCTTTGAAAACAAAATTGAAGCACTACTAGTTTATTTTAGGAATGCAATTCTTCCGTATTTTGTAAGTTGAATGTATTAGGTGTGGTATTACGTAAGTTACTTGTTTCAGCAGAAATTATTTTTAGTTTCACTGAAGAATCTTCTAGCTTTCTTTGTGATTGTTCCTTTTCTTTAGTCTATGGCTTTAGAAAATTCAAAACCAGAACTAGAAGAAAAATCTGCTGTCTGTAAGCTGGAATGGCCAGGAAATCCTGCATGAATAAATAAAATGTAATTACTGTTCTGGTTTCTAGAAAGGTCATAGACATGCCTTAAGTAAAACTGGATTGAAGTCAAATTTTCTCTTTCCATTTTGAAAGACTGGAAGGCAAATGAAATATATAACTGAGTTTCTTTAATAATCATCTTTCATTGCTGCCCATTTGTGTTTAAGAACTGTACATAGTTGCAATCTCTTTGCCACTTGGATTTTGAGAAATTCAGTTTAATACAAAGAAAACGGAAGGGCATAAGAAGGTTGTGGGCAAATTGTTATTTTTGCAGTTTGGTGGAGTAGTGGATAGAGCGGTGGACTTTGAATCAGAAAGGCCTAAGTGAATCCTGCCTTAGACCTTTACTAGCAGTGTGACTCTGGGCAGGTCGCTTAACCTTTCTCAACCTCAGATTCGTCATCTGAGAATTATGACACCTGCCTCACAAGATTGTTGAAAGGATCAAATAAAATAACATATAAAGTGCTTTGCAAACTGAAAGGAATATATAGGTGTGTATATATATATATATATCTGTATATACATATTATATATATATATATATATATCTGTATATACATATAAGTGCTAGCTCTCATTAGTTAGCTATTTTATCTTTATTCTTCCAATAATTTCAATCAATCAAAAATAAAGCATTTATTAAGCAGCTATTATGTGCTAGGCATTGTTCTTGGTGCTAGGGATACAAAGACAAAAATGAAACAATCTCCACCCTCAATGAGCTTATGTTAGGGAAACAGTATGCACACATAGACACTATATGCAAAATATTTTACAGGGTTAGGGGAGTTAGTACTTTGGGGATCCAGAAAAGACTTATTTAGTACATGTTACTTCAACTGACCTTTGAAGGAAGCCAGAGCAATCAGAAGATGGGTTTTAATCCTTATTCTCCCAATGGCTGCCTATATCAGCTGTTTTAAGTTATTCAGCTTCTGTGAATCTTGTGCATATCACTTTAACTTCTCTGCCTTTTAACTCTCTCCTCTGTAAAATGGAGATAGTGACCTGAAAACACTGGGTTAAGTAACTGAGTTAATTTTAAAGTATTATAGAAATTGTGAGAGATTTTTAAAGGACTTGAAGAAATAATCAAGAATTTAAAAATTTAATTGTGCTACATTGTGCTAGAAAATATTTTCATGCTTTAATTTTAATTAAAAAGTGTTTGTGGGGGCAAGTGCACTTAGAAAGAATGGTGTGGATTGGGTTGTCAAGAAGGTGATTGAGGTTAGTTAGACTTTTTCCATCCTCCATTGATTGAATCAGAACTCATTTGTCAGCCTGACACTACCTACTACTACTATGTTTAGACAACAGTAAGTAGGTAACATGGGGAGCAATTCTCTAATGTTTTATTTTTCTCTGATTCCTGTTTATCAGACTAGATAAGTCAGTTTAGGCTGCTGTGCCTAACAAAGAATTGTTATATTAAACAAAATGTTTATGGTATGTTACTTTGTTTTTCTTTTCTTTATAGTCAACACCTATCTCTTTATGGTACAAGCCCGAGGTATAATGTTGAAAGAAAATGTGAAAACAATAGGACAAATGATCAGACTATACACAAATAAAAATGCTACTCTCAATGGTACAGGTAAGAGTATTTCCTGCTTAAAATGCTTCGCTTTACATCAGATTTCTACTTTTAGAGTAAGTAGTAGTTGAAATTATTAAGCACTAGCTTTTCCTCCATGTGAATACTTGTTAAAGATGAAGATAGCCTCTTGTAAATTCACCATTGACTTTTTTTTTGAAATATCTTTACCTTCTTAAGCTAGGTATTCTGTGTTGTATGCATTTTAGAATAGATGAAGGCATGCCTTAATAAAGTGATGATGTTAAGCACAAAAAATAGTAGTTTTTATGACAAAAATAAAATACGAGCATAAAAGCATCATATAGATAAATTTTTTAGAGTTTATTCATTGTTTTAAGGAGGGATCAACTACATAAAGATAATTCTGTTTGTAATTTTCAAAGGGCTACTGGGCTTCCCTCATACTTATTCTATGAAAGGATATTAAGTATAAGTTGGAAGCCAGTAACTCCCCTCTGTCATTATAATCTATAAAACTAAGAAGTGGAATTTCTATTGAAAATATATACAGAGATTGAAAGTTGTGTAGTGTGTTGAATAAACGGATAATCTTAAGGATTTGTTGTATATAGACTTTGGCAATTGTGGAGTGAAAATTCATATTGCTTTTTGGGACTTTAAATTCTATTTAATATCATTTCCCCCAAAATGTAAGACCATAACCAACTGAATCTTAATGCAAGGTCACGCACACATACAAACACACACGTATATGAACATACAGATACATATATATCATTATAATTTTCATGGGGACAATATGACAAGGCAAGAAGAAATATGTCTTGCCTCTGTCATATATTTGCTTTGTGACCATGGTTAAGACACTAAACCTTACCATGCCCTAGGTGACTCTGAGACTGAGTTCCATAGGTGTTGGTAATTTACACAAGGGAGGGAGTTCTCCATACTGGGAATACCCCACATAGGTAAAATCAAAGATCCGAAAACTTGTCCTTCTTATATGTATGTAGGTGATATATGATATATTATATAAATTTTTTTTATCGTCAACATAATTTTTACAATTTAGTTTGTGATGCCACAAATAAAAAAGAAAGGTGTTTTTTTTCTTCTTCACCTTTCTGATTAGCAACACTTTAGATTTCCAAATGTTTGTTACCTTTTTTAATAGTAGAGAGAAAAATTACATTACTTGACTGTGGTTTAAATTTCGGTGACCAGAAGATCATTTTCTCAGTGGCATCTAAAGTGTTTTTTTTTTAAAGAAATGCTGAGTTCAGAATTCTCATTAATGCCTATTAAAGGTTCTTTAATGCCTAGCAAAAGTTAGTTGTTGAGCTTGTAAGTACTTTATATATTGTGTTCATTGCTATTCAACAAATAGAAGAGCTTAAAATTCCCAGCTGTTCTTGGGAGGAAAGAATCCACATAATTGGAAGGAAAACATCCGTTATAGACACATTTGGGTTATTATCATATTTATATAAACGAGCACTATTTAGAGAATCTAAGTCTGTTGTATAAGTCAGGGCCTACTGAAGAGAAGGGCTTATTGGTAAAAGAACAAAAGAGCATTGTCTAAATGGAAAGTAATCATCTGTGTGTCCTGTAATTCATTTTACTTTGTCAGTGTTACTGATCAGTAGTACAGGCCCAGTAAATATTTGTTGAATGAACTTATGAATCAGTAAGTGACTATGGATTGTTGACTTGCCTTGGTGAATTTGTTGAGATATTTGAAATTTTATTAAAAGCAAATTTGCTATTTTAGTGTTTGCCATTGTATTTCCTTTATTGGGAAGGGGGTAGAATTTTGATTTTTTTTTTTCTGCTTAGGTGTCTGGAGCATAGGACTGCTGGTAGGAGGGGAAGCATTTTTTTTAGTAAATCTTCATAGAGAGTATTTGTTTAGGTAAATATATTTAGTGATTTTTCTTTTATGCAACTGTAGGTTTCTCTGACAAATATAGGCTTAGATTTAATACCAGTTTAGAAAAGAGCTTTTTGTTTTCTCCCTCAGGTAATTTAATAAAACTTAGAGAAAATTAGAAAATTATGGGAGAAACATTTTCCTACAATAAAATTCAAGAATAAAATCATCCCTTATTTTGTGGTTTGGTTGGGGTGAAGGTGGAAATAATCATTTTTGTCCGGAATGGAAAAGGTCTGTTGTAAATTGACAATTAGGTGAGTGAGGAACAGATATACACAACCTCAGCTTTAGCTCAGAGTAACAAACTTGAATCTTTCCTACATAATTTCATTCTTAAATGTGATACTGAGAATATAGTGTGGAGTGCTTTTTATTTTTAGCATATGTAATTTTTATTTAATAATTTTATTTGAAAAAAAAACCCACCTCAAATCTGTGTTCAATCTGGCAAGCTTAGGTTTTTAAATACTATATTTGGAATCAAGCAATCAATTGTCAGTCTTTCTCACCAGTTTTCACACTATCTCTCTCCCTCTGAACTCACTTAAAAAATATTACCCCAATAAGGAATCAAAGACAAATGTGTAACAGCAAAAAGATAAAATTCCAAGCAATAAATACCCATCTTTTTTTTTAAAGGCAATTGGGTTAAGTGACTTGCCCAGGGTCACACAGCTAGTAAATGCCAAGTGGTTGGTCTAAGGCCAAATTTGAACTCAGGTCATCCTAACTTTGGGCTGGTGCTCTATCCATTGCTCCACCTAGCTGCCCCCCCCATCTTTAATTAGGCTGAAAAAAAATTTAGCATGGCATTTAAACCATTCCTGAGAGGAAATGGCTTATAGGGAACTAGTTTGAGAAGACCTGTTTCTAACTATTGGAAAAACATTAATTTCTATGAAAATAGAATTTACATGTGCATATACATGTAAGCATACTTGAAATCAAAATTATTTCTCAATTCCTAACTATTGAATTTCTAATGTCAAGTGAAAATGTCTTTAGTAATTAAATTTTTTTTTTTGCCTGGAATCTCATATTTCTGAAGTATTTATTGTTTGTACTATAAACAATCAAATTCAACAAGCATTTGGCAAGTTCCTACTATGTGCTAGGTACTCTGCTAAGCATTTGGTAATATAGACAAAACTATAAAGTCCTTGCCTCCAAGAAACTTACATTCTGCTGACCAAAGTTAAATATCCAGAGCTGTAAGGCAAACACTCTCAGTGCCTGTTGAATCATGAAAACTGTATTTGTTAAGGGACAGTTTCTGCTGTGGGGACTGTTTGAAGTTACACAACTAGAGACTGGTAACTACCAGTTACCTGGATCTCAATGAACTGTCTCCAAGTTTAGTGTTCTTTCTACTGTGCTCTACTGATTTTATGCAGGGCAAAAACAGAAACCAGAAACAGACAAATTGAGAAATCTTCTCTTTTCTCATCTTTTTTCCTCTATTAGGTGATAATGTATGGAGGATGGTAGAATGGAAGGTCTGCAAAATTATTTTTATTCTTGATCATTATAGCTGCCAAGAGAGGAGGAATATTAAGTTTTTGTTTCCTTATTGAGTGAAATCATGACTTCATTTCCAGCTGTTGCTATGTATAGCTTGCTTTGTATGTATTTGTTGACATACTGTTTCCTCCATTAGATTGTTAGCTCTTTGAAGGCAAGAACTGTCTTTTGCCACTTTTTGTGTCTCTGGCACTTAGAATAGTGTTTGGAGCATGAAGTGCTTAATAAGTGCCGGTTGATTGTTTTTTTTTTTTTTAAATTTCATCAGTTAGATTGTAAGATACTTGAGGACAAGGACTTCTTTTACAAACTCTTTTTGTATTCCCAGCTTCTTAGCACATTGCCTGGCACATAGAAGGCACTTAACATATGTTTGTCAATTGATTGGATCACTGTCAAATAACCCATCGTTTATGACCTTTTAAAAACATCACCTGCCATAAAGTGGTGATTCTGATAGATATACTCTTACTTACCACACCACTTTCTTTACTCTCTTGAGAGAGTAGTGGTTTATGAATTTATTATGATGTCTCTCCAGAAGCTTAGGCAGTTAATTGCCTTTCTCTCACTCATTGGTAAGGGAGGCTACTTGACCAATGGGCTGGCAGTTAAATGATGGAGAGTTTACTAAGCAATCTTTTAGGGAGAATAGGTAGATAAATGGTGGGGGAAGGGATCTCTTATAAACAACAGACAGCATAGCATCTTTTCTGCTTCCTCTGGAATAGCGTGGGGTTACTGTAAGGATCTGGAATCATTTAAATTTTGAAATAGTTTTTGTGGTTCAGCCTTTGGATGTTATATAGGTTATAGAATCATAGAATGGCATAATTTGCAAGAGGTGTTGGGATTAATAAAATATCAATTAATTAAAAATAAAATATTCTGCTGGTCTAATACTCTCCTATGTGTTTTAGGTTCTCAGAATCATTTTGGTATTTTCTTATTTAGATAATCATAGAGTGAGACTCCCTTGGACCACTCAAGGGCAGCTGAGAACAAGGAGGACAGTTCTCTGTGCACCACTATATGTCCTTGTGCTTTTAAAAATGGCATGGGTTATTCATAGGACCCTAAGATAGTAGCATCTTGTTTTTGTTTATGGCCTATGTGTAACCATGCAATATTAGAATTGGAAGGGGTCTAATTCATCCCTCTTCCCCTCCCCCCTTATTTTACAGTGAGGAAAACCTTAGGGTTTTAAAGTGACCTACCCAAGGTCACGTGGCAAGTTAATGGCTGAACCAAGATTCAAACCCAAGTCTTTTGACCCCTAGACCAGTACCTTTGTACTATACCAAGTTCTGAGCCTAATGAATTTCCCATATTATTTTTATCTTTTGCCAGCGGATGCTGGGACTCAAAAGGAAAAATGCATTATACTTCTCTGGTAGTCTGATGAATGTCTAAACATTCCCATTATACTTAACTCAACCTTAAGGACATATAATTTCATTGGCAGGGGCACTCTCTCTGTAGATGCTGGTTATAATTCTCTTGAGAGATGGCCTTGAGGTTCAAAGATATTATCATCATCATCACCATCACCACCACTAGCATTTATATATTGCTTTAA